ATCCGGATGTTCAAGTTGGATTAGGTGTGCTCTTTTACGGTAAAGGAGAGTTTGACAAAGCTGTAGATTGCTTTGTATCGGCTTTAAATACTCGAAACGATGTAAGTTATTACTTTTAATTTTCAACCATGATTAATAAATAATTGTTTATTAATTAAAATTGTTTTTTTGCAACAGGATTATCTTTTATGGAACAGATTAGGTGCTACTCTGGCGAATTCTGGCAAATCAGAGGATGCAATTGATGCTTACCATAAAGCATTGGAAATCAAACCAACATTTGTTCGCGCACGTTATAATTTAGGTGTTAGTTGTCTTAATATTGGTTGTTATCGTGAAGCAGCAGAGCATCTACTTGGTGCTTTAAGTATGCACCAAACTGGATTAAGTAGTGAGAATGTTAAAAATGTTAGTAGTAGTCTTCGGGACACTTTAAGCAGGACATTTAAAATGATGGTTGGTACTATTATTTTATTTAACGTTATTTCCTATGCAACTGTATGATGTCAGCATGTATAATTTTTCTTCCTTCATTTGATATTTCAAGGAACGAGAAGATTTATGTGAAAAATTAAACGCCAGCTCAAACGTAAACCAATTTCGGGATGAATTTGAATTTTGAGCCTGTATTCATTAAACTGAATAATAAAGATTTTTTAAAGTATGAAATTTACTTCCTGCATTCGTAGGAAAGCCCAAAATTAGTAATGGACTGGGAAAATCTCTATTCGAAAGCAAGTGCCGAACTGAGGTTTTTCTGAACATGACCCAAATATTAGATATCTTTACACTGTACTTTGAGAATTATATTCAACAAATGAGATTTAACTCAAATAGATAATATTCAAAACCGATTTATTTTTCGACTGGTTACTTAATACTGTTGAATTTATCTAGAGTTGTAAAAAGTAGTTACTATAATATAGTATTTCTGCTAGTTTCCGAAATATTACATTAACTATTATCAAGTATGGCGAAAAAATGAGGTAGCGATAATGCTTGTTAATTTAATGAACTTAATGAAGTTTTAATTAATTTTAAATGTTTAATAAATGAAAGAACTATTGGACTATTTAATATGTTTAAAAATATATTATATATATATATATAAACAGAAATCATCATTCGGGGTAAATTCAATATAAGGATCTACATACTG